AGCGTACGCCCCGGTGCAGAGAGCACCACCGCGGGATTCAACAGCACCCGCAGTTAGTTCGAGTCGCAGCGCCAGCCGTTGGTTCACTACAAGAACCCGGTCTCGCAGGCGCGCAAAGATCGCGAGATCCAAATTGGGGTGGACAACGGGACTACAGTGGGCGGCCCTTTGGAAAGTTGGGGAGGGCGGCCCGGCGGATGCGTGCGTTGACACTTCGGCAGGAACTAGAGGAGGCCGTTCCTGGGGCATTCAACCTCTCTGCAAGCAGTCTGGAAGAAGTCGTGCGGGCGTGGATAGAGTTCGAACCCGAGTGGGCCGAAGAGGCGAAGAGGAGATACCTGAACAAGGGCACGTACAGCACATCTCAAGCTGCAAAGAAGATAAGGCGTGCGAAAGGGGCAGAGATGAAAGCTCGGGTGCTAACGGGAGGCGGGCCATGCTTCTCTACCAGGACGAGAGCATATTTCGAGGTTAGTTTCAAACGGAGCAAAGCGGGTTCGATAACTTAGGTGTAAATTCCGGGCGCGAACAGAAATCTTGCTCGCAAATCAATTGTGGGACTTTAAATGTAATCACACATGTTGACAGCGCCACATCTACCGCCCCTAAATTGTCGGTTTCTTGTTTGTATTTGCAGCCAACGACGACCAGAGGCGCGCGTGGTATCGGGACGGCCAGCATGTGCCCGTGAAGAAGTCACAAGGACAGGGGATCATGGTGTCGGGGACGATAATCCACAACGTTGGCTTCTGCTCGGCGTCGCGGGCACATCAGATCCAGGACGCGGAGCGCAACCGCAGGAAACGATGCGCCGCCTCAGCTGCCGCGAAGCGACGGGGGGAAAACGTGAAGGTGGAGAAGTTCCGCCCCATCGACATGCTTCATGAAGACGAGCATGGACAGTACTGGTCCTACCACCTCTTCGAGTACGGCAAGAACAAGGAGGGATACTGGACCGGGCTCAGGATGCTGGACCACATGTCAGACGTGCTCGACATGTTCACAGTTCTCTACCCTGAGCACAAGCCTGTAGGCCTGTTCGACTGGTCGTCCTGTCATGACTGCATGGAGGTCGGCGCACCGTCGGTGAAGAGAATGAACTTGGGTGTCGGTGGTGTGAGGAACGGAGAAGAGCTTGCGCCGATGGACCCCGTGACCATCCTCGAAGATACCCCGAACCTCCCAGCCGGCACGGTACAGCACTTGGTGTTTCGGAGGGGGGACGATCCCCCCTTCCACTCCCCGCATCTCAAGCCGGCGCAATATGTCGGAAAGTTGAAAGGAATGCGGCAGATTTTGTGGGAGAGGGGGCTCTTGGTCAAAGGCATGAGTGAGACGGGGGGCTCGGGCGAAAAGCAGGACCTCAGCAAGAGCATGGAGCACGTTTTGGGAGAGCAGAAGGACTTCAAGAAAGTTGATAATAGTCTGGTGCTGTTGATGCAGCGCCACGGGGGTCCTGTCTCATGCTTCCTAAGTACCACTGCGAGTGTAACCCCATCGAGCTTGTTTGGGGCCGAGCGAAGGACTGGACTCGAAAGAACTGCAAATATTCGTTGGAATGCTTGCGCAAGAACGTGCCGCTGAGTTTTAGACCAGAAAAGGATGGACAGGCTGTTGTTAAGGAGGACCCGATTCACAGGGTATCCGTTGATTGGCTTTTACCTGAATCGGTACACCTTCGCATATGGCGTCAGCGGGATACTGGTTCGAATCTCCTTGGGTGCACACTTTTTCTCCTGACTTGGATATTTTCCCAAGGACACAATGTGTGTCAGTTCTGTGAACACCTCTTGGAGTCGATCCTACAAAGAACCCTGTGACACTTCCATCGAATTACCCATCCTGGCCACAAGACGTTCCCAGTTGAGGGTAAATTCTGTGGGTGGAGAGTGTTAAGGAGGACCCGATTCGCAGGGTATCCGTCGATTGGCTTTTACCTGAATCGGTACACCTTCGCACTGTTTCGGTAGTCCAGGGCTACTGCAAGAAGGCGAACACACACGCCCTCATGTACCGCGAGACGCGTGTGCAAGGGCCTGAGGGCAAAAAGACGTACAAGAAGTACAACTCGCACAGGCGCCCGACCCCGAAGGAATGGAGGCCGTAGAGTCTATGGCGCATTATTGTTCATTGAGCTGTATTTGTTCAGTTTTTTTCCGTGTTTCTGGTGGGAATGTTGTACAAAAATGGAACATTTTTGTTAAAAACGGCCAATTTTTGTGATGATGTATGTACGCTATAGGTGCGGTAGAGGCATTTTCATAGTGTTTGAGGGCGTTCCTGTGCACGTGTGGGTGGTTTGGTGCGAAAAAAAAAAAAGGATTAGCAACATATATGGGGGAAAAGTTGCTCTAGGGCCAATTTCGTGGGTTCGAGACCCGCCGCAAGCATCTTTTTTTCTTTTTTTTTCCTCATTTTTTCCTTTTTTTTTTGGCGACTCGCTACTCTTTTGCGCCTTGCCGCGGGCGTTCCGAAGCTGTTTTTCTTTTTCTTTTACTCGCTCTCAGTCAAAAGTTATGGAGGGACAACCAAAATCGGGTCCTTGAAAATTACCACTTTAGTCCACGAAAAATGGGGAGCTTGGGGTCTCAAAACCCGGCACATACGACGCCGCGGGGAAACAAATATGGTCCGCGCTGCCTACAAATAAATGGGACTTGTGAAGCGCCGCCATCTGTTGCCGAAGCACGGCTGAACCGGTGTGACGGAGAACGCGTATTTTTTCTTCTTTCTCAGAAGTAAATCGTCAAATGATGCCCAATAAGTCTCGCTCTGGTCTGAAAGGCGATAAATGTGCGTCACGGAAATCAAACTTTGGGCCCCTGCACCACGCAGCGGAATTCAGGCCGATGATTAGACTATTATAGAGCCCTTTTTTCCCTCCTGGGAGATGAAGGGAAAAAAAATTGCGCTTCGCGCTCCGCTGCTCATTACAAGATTTGCTTTTGCTTGGCACTGCGGCTAAAGGGTCGTGGAAATCTTCGTACTCTACTGCGACTGCTGTTGTCTGCAAGTTTCGGAAGAGACTCATTGTTTACTTGTCTCTGGAGCTCTGGAGTCCATATGGTGTTCGACGGATCTACGTACGTACTGTGTGTGACTCAAGACATCACCACCCCCTGAACGGATTCTCAAGACCAAGCTCGATTGCCCAACAGCAAAGAGGATGCAAAGGTCCAACGATTCGGTTTCGGAAAAGTTTCGACGAGACGGTTCCGACGCCACCAATTCGGCGCCACCGCTCTTTTCTGGAGTGATCGATTTTTGAAAATCGGTCCACGGGGTGTGGTATCTTGTGCAACGTGGGCGTCAAAACACATTCCTGCACAGCAGTAATGCCCCCACCCAATGACGTGGTACTTCGTACTTCATACTCCAGGATATTTCAAAGCGTGAGAACTGAAGCACATTTGTGAGCCTGGTTGAGAGCTCCACTAAAACCTACCAGATAGCCGCTACTTGTAATTTGTAGCCCAACCCGATGCATAGGAACCAAGAATCCCAGCTTCGGCCAAAACTATGGTCCCTGAGTTTGGGTCTACCTGTAGGTGTAGACTAGGCAGTCTCGAAAGTCAATCTTTCTGTTAATTAATAAGAGAATAAAAAAAATACAAGTTTCACCGCCGGCCTGACCATTTAGAGTTTAGAGGGTCGGCACATAAAAACGCGGTTGAGAGCGATTTTAGTCCTATCCATCCTAGCATGAGAACCTAAACAAAATGCCGAGCGATTCCAACCGTCAACGCTTCAAGCCACACGACCAAAAAACACGAGGAATCCAGGGCCGATACTGATGAGTCTTTGCACCCCCGGCGCTAGTCCAATCTCTTCCATTCAGCAGTTTCCCACGAGCTTACTGGGAGAGTAAACGCTGCGAACAAAGGGCGCGACACAACACACTGCTTTGACCACCTAAACGGACCCACGTAACTCAATAAGAAAATACAAGCACCAGACAACAAAAACAACAACAACAACAACAACAACAACAACAACAACCACAACAAGAGCCGTACTTTGTGTGACGGCGACGTTGACACAGAAACGCTCGCCTTGGAAAAGCAATGACTTGTTTTGCACTCCTTCTTCCCCACGGCGACAAACATGAAAACGAACGCGAAAATGAAAGCCAGGCGCAAAAGGGCGCACCAAACAAAAGGGGAATAGACCTGTCCGACCGAGGGGAAACGGGCCAGGACAAGAAACGCTCACAATAGCGCCAACGTCAGGCATTTATATCCATGACCATCTACGATAACGGTCCGTGCCTTCAATAAGGCAGAGAAACTCGGAAGCCTGACTCGTCTACAGAGGTAATTCTTTGCCACAAAACACACATCATCACCACGGAGTAAACCAAATTACCCACTACCGCCGCGTGTTCACCCGTCTACCTTCATACGTCGCACATCCCACAAAACAGATAGGGTTGCTTAGCAAGACAACTTGAGTATTGATCACTGGTCCAATCTACGAAATCTTCGCTTGCTTGTGAGGACGACCCCTGCTCCTGCCCCCACACTTCAAACACCCGCCCCGTCCCACCGCATAGCGACACGGTCTAGCAGATCCTCGCACGCCAGGGTGTCAACCTTTCCACCCGACACCGTGGATGCAAAACCCGGCGTCGCCACGTCGCCCTGCAGCCTGCTGTACGTACTCAAGCCATGGGCGACGCCTGTCAAACGAGGGGTTCAAGGACGGGAAAACAACATGTAGGCGTACGTAAGGGGCGAGCAAATGAAGAGAGGTAGGTACCAGTATTGAAGATGGACCCAGGGAGCACCGAAAGGCTGTAATAATATAGTACCCTTCGTGGGCGTCCCTCCATTGGGCGGGTGACCGGTACCGGACGGGATCTCTTGGCACAGATGTGAAGACGTATCTACCGTGCTAAGGGTCGCAAGACAATACACGCCCTGGGACCGATTATCAAAGCTCGATTGCTCCATACATAGCAGAAAGACACAGCGGTGCCGAAAATGGCGGGGATAGAATCGTATCGTCGACGTGTTTTCCAAGAAACATATCGTTCAATTACTACGTACGTCCTCTTCGTCGTGGATCAACCGAGCATTTTTGAAAATCGGTCCGGGGGATGTAGAATCTTGCGCCATGCCACCTACCGACGGTAGTTGTTTCAAACTCCTACTAATAGGGCGGGTGAATCCATACGCGGCACACATCCCGCCCTGAGAAGGGACTACCACCGCGACTGCTGCTGCTTTTCACGGCGGCCGCCGCCCCCACGACCGCTTTCGATTTTGCGCCGTCTAACTCACTCACCCGGGGTCGTGAAGCACGAAGCGAGTATCGAGGCGTGGGCGAGGCCGACGCCCGTCTCGAACGCCGAGCTCAACACGGCCTCCGCTCCCAGGTGCCGCGCCAAGCCGCACAGCCGCGCGCTCCTGCTGAGCCCCCCGACGACGCTAACCTTAACCACGAAGGCGGCGCAACCCTCCAGCTGCAACAGCTCCTGCGCGGCGGTCGGCAGGCAGGCAGGGAGGTCGACACAACAAAACACAGAGGCGAAAAAAAAAGGCGAAGAGGGGTCCGCACCATCGGCGTGACTGAATCAAGGGTGAAGGGGGGTGGGGACACTTCGGCGATTCCGTTTTGCTGGAGTACTGCGCAGTAAATACCCAACTGCGTCATTGGCTTGAACACACGCAGCGAAAAGGAATGCCCTTGCGGGATAAAAAATCAAGGGTGTCGGACAAAATTGCCCAAAATCAAACTCTCTGTCCGGTCGTCACCTTGTCCGTGAACTTCTCCCGCCCCATCGCCAAGCTCTCGTCGAGCGCATACGGCACGACCCCTCCGGATCTTTCCCAGAACTTTCCTAGCGACCGTGGCTCTCGCAGCGGCTCCTCGATGTACTCCACCAAGCTCAGATCGACACCCTCGACACCCCCCCCCCCCCCCCCCCCCCCCCCCCCCCCCCCCCCCCCCCCCCCCCCCCCCCCCCCCCCCNCCCCCCCCCCCCCCTCCGTACCCCCCGCCACGCCGCCTCTGGTACGATTTATTCGCCCGGCGGCGACGGCAGGCGCAGCACCTTTAGCGGCGGAATCACCAAGAGCAGCTGAAAACTGGAGAGCTTCGTCCATTGTCCAAGCTTGATTCGCGTCAAGCCTGAGGGTGCTGCATAAGCTGCTGCTCCTGCTGCTGCCCGACGACACTGATTCTCGAAGGAGTTGCACAGTTCGCGCGGCATCTTCGGAAGGGCCAGCAATGCCGCCCACCTTGACCTTGAGCACGCGGGGGCCGGCCTTCGCACGAGTTTTTTTCATCACAGAGGCAGGCAAGGGAGGGGTATAGAAGGGTGAATGAGAGGGGGTACAAGGCTGGGTTGTGTGCCTCGGACAGAAGCATCCCGAAGCGCTTCTGTTAGATGCGGAGCACAGGGACTCGCAGTGGCAACACGGGCACAAGATAGGGGAAAGTACTGGTACCTGCCCGTCGCGTGTGGTATGTGGCATTGGAGGCTCATATGCATATGCATATCATACTTGTACCCTTATGGTTGGTATGTATCATATCATACTTGTACCACTATGGTTGGTACTGGTGGGACGAAACCTTGAGCCAATACCCGTGGACGGAACGACGATAGTTTGAAAATGTTGCTATAATAGCGCGACCAAGAGAGGTTCTACGAGAGAGAGACAGAGGGAGAGAGGGAGAAATAAAGAGAGAGAGAGAGAGAGAGAGAGAGAGAGAGAGAGAGAGAGAGATCCATTCAGGGACTCATATATATGTACGAGGGATGAACCAGCCCAAACCATACCATCACCGTCTTGTTTGTTACCGGCCATCACTCCACGCAAACCCTCTCCTCCCACAAACTCTCATCCCGACATGCAGCAGGCAATACCAACCCCACGTTCTTGCTGCAAAACAAGACTCTAACGGGCATATGCCGTACGTTAAGCCTCTCGCGTTATCACCGAAACTCGCGCCTGCCCGTCGCGGAACTTCAACACCTGTGTATAGCCGCGGACAACACAGATACACACCCTAAGGATCGCATACCGCCATCGCGTACAGCATGACGACCGACCTCAACCCTTTTCGCTGGTACCCTTCAAAGCCTCATTTCGAGCTGACAAAGATGCCGCATTCAGCGGCATGGGCTACTTTGCTGGCTCAGAGAAAATATAACGCAAACAAAAGTCGGATCTTCCATCAACGCTAGCCGTCGTGCTCAGCGACACGGGCTACTTCGTTCGTTGTCAAAGACAAGAGAAAATATACACGAGACGCCATTCGACGGTTGAAATCGACCTCTCACCCTCGTGCTGCCGCCTGTCGCCACCCCCTCCCCTCGGGTCGCCAGGCCGTTGATCTCGACGGCCCCCCTGCACGGCAGCCCCGACGCCGCGCTTACCGCCGCCCCGATGCTAACCCCGGCCGCCCTGGCTGCGAGATGGACCACGGCCATCTCGATGCCGCAGCGGACGGATGGCAGCAGGCGTGACGACGACGACCGTGTCGTCGTCGTTGCCGTCGCTGGTTCCGCGAAGGACCCCCTGGGATGGGTCGCTGTTGCCGTTGCTGAGGTTGTACTCGTTGTTGCTGCTACCGTGGCCGATGATGCAACCGGTGGCGTTGTCACCGCCGCCGCCGCTGCCGCTGCCGTCGTCGCAGCAGCAGCCGCAGCCGACGGCGGCGGCGGCGCGCCGAGCTCCTTCGGTGTGCGACCATCCCCGCCACCACTTCCACCACCAGCTGCCGCCGGGCCCAAGCCGTCGGCGGTGGCGGAAGGAGCGGCGGCACCAGCGGCGACCGCCGCGTTCAGCCAGGCGTCGAGGCGACTCTCGCCATCGCCGTCGTTGCCGTCAGTGGCGCCCAGAGCGGCAAGCTCGATCGACGTCGACCGGCCGACTAGTGAAGGCAAGACGGACCGGAGGTTTGCGGTTGCCTCTTCAAGGGTTTCCTCGTGGAAGCCTGACCGAGGGGAGGGGGGGGGCGTACTCATGTTGTTGCATGCAGCTGTTAAGACAATTGACCAGGTGTCCTCGAGAGGACGGAGCAATGTGTTCCCACATGACCGATCACCGAAGGCCAATCGTACCTTCCTACTTCGCCAAAGGTGGCTCAAAAATGTTTCTCTAAGGACAACATGTCGTACACCTCTTGGGCCTAAAGACCGGGGAGTAACTTCTGACTTTGCATGAAAGCTAACAATATCGCGGCTTGTTAAAAGGCTCACCCGGAAGCGGTGTAACCTCACCCACGCCCCAAACACGCCGCCCTTCCTCCTTCTCTCGTCCTACTCCCGACCGCGGGAGCAACGCCTCCAGCCGAACAAGAACTCCTCGCCGCTCTGTCAGCTTGCAGAGGCTGAGCTGGAGCGGGGACGTCATGGGGATGGAGAACTCTTCCAGCGAGAATCGGGTTATTCTCGCGACTCTCTCCTCCTCTCCAACCCCCGCCGCTGTCCCAGAGTCAGCAGCAGCAGCAGCAGCAGAAGCAGAAGCAGAAGCAGAAGCAGCAGCGCCACCGCCACCACCACCACCACCACCACCACCAGACGCGGCGGCTACGGCGGACAACTTCGCGACCTCCCGAAACAAAGCGGCGGGAGCCTCCGTCGGCACCGCGTGCCCGGCGCCGGCGATAACGGCGACGCTCACTCCTGGACACGCCTCCTCCACGGCTTGGGCCACGGTTCTCGCGCCCGGCACCACGGCAGCAGATGCAAGCGCCGCACAGCCGGCCCCCGCCCCAGCCAATCGCCCGACCTCGTTAACGCTGGTGCCCCTAACCACGCCCGAGATATCCGCTCCACACCCGCCGCTGCCAGCCGCCACCCCTTTCTCCGAGGGGAACGACGGCGGTGGTGTGGTCCCGTTGGCTTCGTGTGCCGATCCCACCTGCGGTTCACCGTGAACGCCGCCACTACTACTACCGCTAGTACAGCTACCGCCGACAGCGCCACAGCGGCCGCCGTACCGAGGGTCCAGCTCTCCGGCCACGTACATCACGGGCAGCACCGAGGTGTCGCCGGCACCCCCCCCTCCCCTCATCTTGTCGGTGTTCTTCTTGTCAGAGAGCTGACGCAGCAGGGGCCAGAGGTTGGCCTGACGGGCAACGCTGAGGGCAAGGCAGCTCCGTGCGAGTTCCCTAGCTGTCATGCTCCCGTTACCGCCGCCGCCGCCAACGTCCCGGCCCGTCGGAACCAAACACATTCCCTCTCGATCCTTCTTCCAGTCACGATCGTCACTTTCCGAGCTCAAACCCCTGCCGCTGCCGGCTCCAAGTCTGACCTCGCTGCTGTTTCCTTCCCCACGCCCGTTTCTCAGCCCGGAATCCTGCCGCAGGCCGGTGCTGCTGTTGTTCAAGATAGCCTTCTTGCCGCCGTGGCTGTCGCTGTTGACCATCTCCCGAGGTGCACCAGGCTTATCGTCATGGCTGCGGTGGCCAGGGTCGAGGCCGAAGCCCAGGTTGCTCAAGCGACGGTCTATCATCGCCGAGTACGCCGACGGGCGTCGCTGTCGCACGTCCCCCCACAGCGGCGCAGCGTACCAGCGATCCAAGAACGCCCGTGCCTCTTCTTCTGCTGGTCTGGATGATGGGGGGAGGGTGGATAAACAAACCGATAGCAAGCCGAAATACGGAAGTGCCTTATGATACCTGACTTGGCGCGCACCAATCCTCATTCATTCTTCCCTTGTAATTTTTCACGTATGTTCTCCCCTCTTTGGGGCATTCCGCCAGTCTTTCACGTGAGGCGTAAGCGTAAGGCGGACCAGTTTGGACGTTCCAAGCTACTGGGCAGAGATCGGAACGATGTGTGATGTGAAGCCAACGACAACGACGACGACGACCACAACAACAACAACAACAGTAACAACCCGACAATTGTACCCTCGACCCTCCTTCTTCGGTCAAGCTTTCCTTCTTTACCTTCTTCGGTTCATCGAAGGAACGACCTCGCACGCCCTAAAGAAGCAGTCAAGCACCGCGTTTGCTCAGGGCAGCTGCAACAAATTTATCGAACCGGCAACAAACGCCCGGTCTCCTCCAGGAAGCCTTCTTTAAACACAGACAGGGGTTGGTACAACATCGGGACATACCGTATCACACGCGCATACAATACCTCTCTCTGCTGGTAATGTACAACACCGAGACGTGCCATATAAGTCAAACCTATCGTACCTCTCGCTGAAGTTGACGCCGGCTACGCTTGACGCTGCCGGCCGGCGGCCAAGAGCAGCGATCCGAGACGCCAGGGCGCGGTCGCAGGCCCACCTCGACAGCCTGGCCGCGCTACTGCTGTGTTGTCGCGTATGTACGGCGTGGCACGAAAATCGATTAGCAAGCACCCGCGGGCAGGGAGGGGGCGGTGTTGTCCAGGTCAGGAGGAACTTCAAATGTTGCACCGACGGGTCACGGTCAGCACATATCATGACATGACATCTCGAGGAAGGCGTCTAGCGGCCACTGGCAGCAAGTACCCCGACTCTTTTCTCCGAGTAAGACGAGAACACCACGAGTTCTGCAAGAATGTCAGAAACATCACTGCTACCCCCAGACGTTCCGCTGCAATATCTCAGACGGGACCCCTCAAACACAAAACCCTACATCCCTCAACCTTCCTGGTGGCGTCTCTCTGATTGCTTGTTACCTTGCCAGCCCTGGGCTCGACGACACCAGCACCAGCCCCCCCCCTCCCTCCATCACCCGCGGTCGTCTCGCTGCCAAGGCTAGCGCCACCCTCCCGCCCATCGAGTACCCCACCACCACGTACGGCCCGGCCCCCACCGCATCGCAAACGGCGCCCACCGCCTCCGCGGCCAGGAAAATGCCTCCCAAGCCCCAGGAGGATACAACACCATCGTCGTCAGATTCGTCATCCCGGCCAGCCGCGCAACTGCTGCTTGCCCGCGGATGTTCGCCTCGTCGCGCTTGTGCCGAACCGACAATATTTCCGCCGCCGCCGCCGCCGCCGCTGCTTCCGTTCTGTGCCGTCGTGGTCGCCGCTGCCCCCGACACACCAGAAAGTTCCTCCGAACGGTCTGTTCCTTCTCGCGGGTGGTCGTCGGTGGGTACTTCGCCGTTCGGTGCTCCTGGGAACCCTCCCCCCCCCTCCCCCTCCTCCGTGCCGCCCCCGTCACACTCGCCACCGACAGTCCGCCGAACATCGTCGCCCCTCTGACCGCCAACAGCAGCAGCAGTGGTGCGCCTGCCGTCGGAGTTGCCGCCCCCGCTACCCCCCCCGTGTCCAGGGAGTTCCACATTGAGGACGGCGTGGCCTTCCGCAGCGGCGAGCTGTGCGAAGTCGCCCCGCCAGTCTTCCTGTTTCCGGCCGCCGTAAGATCGGCAGGTACAAGAGGGCCACGAGGAGGGTTGGTGTGGTAGTAGCGACAATAATGGCAACGAACGAACGCCAGGCACGCACGCGACCAACGTTTTTCGCGAAACGAACCACGGCAAGTGAGTGCCGCAGAAGAAAAGGTGGGACAAAAAAAAAAACGCGTGGTGAATTGCTGTGTGACCCCGGCTGATACGTCAATCAAACATACACATACCCCCCGCGAGGTGTGTAGAGTAGACTGGCGCCAGAATAAATGGGGCAAACACGCACACACACACATGCACGGCATACATCCATGCAGGGCCAAATGTGATCCTCAAAGTCATCCTCTGTGCTCGGGCAATCGAACAACTTTCCAGCTTGGACACAACACCGTATATGATTCTCTCGAGTACGAAAAAATGCAAGGGTAGGTTCTGTAGGGTAAGGGTACGTTCGGTAGGGTAATGGGTCTGTCACAGAACTCACAGAAAAGTTCGGTAGGGTACTGGATCTGTCACAGAACTCACAGAACTATAGGGTATTGTGGTGAGCCGTCACAGAACTCACAGAACTTTCGAGTTCTGTAAGCGAGCTGTCACAGAAAAATTCGGTAGGGTACTGGGTCTGTCACATAACTCACAGAAAACTTCGGTAGGGTGCTGGCTCTGTCACAGAACTCACAGAACTATAGGGTACTGTGGCGCGACCTTCACAGAACTCACAGACTCGTCTGTGGGGTAGTTACCGAGGGTTCCTACCCCCGGTGTGGATCTGTGGGTACCCTACAGAACCTAATCTTGAAAAAATGCACTGTGCTGCTCGCTAGGACGCGGGTATTGTACGAAATATCGCTTTCCATCCAAATCACCACCCGCCGTTCGCCATAAGAAGCAACCTCAAAATTCTGCGGCAAGTACCTATGCATAGCCCAAAGCCAAACATCGGACTAACCCCTCCCCCGCCCCCCCCCCGTGGTCAATGGTCAAACCGCTATGGCATGCAAAACATAAGAGTACGCCCCCCCCCGGCCCCCCCCGCCCCCTGCCCCTTCACCTTGCTACCCATGAAGCCGTGCAGAAGGAGCAACGTGGGCTTCTTCTTCCCCCCCCCCTCTCGTCCCCGCCCCAAAGAGCTGTTGGAAACCCCTGCGGGAGACGGAGGCCGTGCTCGGGCAACGGGGGCCGGGGTAAACTCCCACCCCAGCCTGACGCCCCTCAAGAGGTGGTCCAATGCTGCCGCCCTGCCGATGCCGCCAAGGGATCTGTGAAAGCGGGGTGTCGGGAAGGGTAAGTCCGGCCGTTCCTTCACGGCCTGACATCTTATCCTGCACGACATACCTCGGTTTTCGGTCTCGACTAGGTAGAGGGCGGATTAATACAAACGGAGGTGGCGTTATTGCCCCGGGGGGTATGACACTGTCGGCCGTACTTGTGCGGTGCCCTTCCCTCTCTCGTCGTTTTTGCTCTGTGGGAAGCGAGACAGAATGCCTCAACGAAGATTGCAGTCCTCATCTTTCCCCCCCTCACAGAAACTTTACACTTGAAATCTTCCATTGTTGAGCTCGAAGCTAGCTCTACCCTACCATCGGCACTAGCACTACGAGCACACCATCACCATCACAACAACGACAACGACAACGACAACACGAGACGCACCTGTGGACGGGAAGGTTTTCCTCCCGACAGGTGACGGCCTCGATGAAAAAGTGTCGGCGTCGTCGTCGTCGTCGCCTCTTGCCCGCACCCTCCCCACCCCGACCTCCGAACACGCCTGCTGAAAAAGCGGAAGAGACAGAGGGTGTGGCGACGTCCACAACCAGACACGATCGCGGGGTCCCTAGTAAGACGGAAGTATACAGAGTCGCGAACTTGTCTCGCTGGTTCGCTCAGGTTCTTTCTGGCTGGGGTCTTCGAGTCGAAAGCACATCAGCTCCGTGAGCTGTTCTTGAGCTTTGGGAAACGTCACGCTGCAGCTGGCAGCCAGCCGCCAGCTGTGGGTTGAACCTGATCCCTGCTTCTATTCCATCTTTGCATGATCCCTTGATGACACTGGCCTGTGCTTATGTGAGCCCACTCCGGAGGTATATAGGGAGGATATGCCCCAGGCCGTTGGACGCGGCCCTAATAGCGGGCACCCGCCCAATTCAAGGCTAGAAAAGGACTTGATTTACCCATCTGCGCTAAGAGACTGTCACCCGCCTTTTCCCGGCACACCCGACCTACAGTGGGGCCACGACTGCTGTACTTCATATCAAGTCGGTCGGCCAGACTTTGTCTCTTCCTCGTTCGCCTCACTCGCCGAACACGGTACGTACCATGGTGTGGTGTTACCATGGAATGGTGTTGTAATGCTAGCGTCTGAGTAAAAATCGGTACAGGTTAATGCTACGTTGGACCAACTGGCGCGCGGCAAAGAAAATGACTACCGTAAAAGTGCGTGTGATGGCACCCATCGGTGATTTCGCACCCATCGGTGTGATGGCACCGGGGTGCGCAAAAATATCAAGAACGGCATGGATTGATTGTATTTCCGCAACGGTATCGGTGTTATCGCACCCGGTGCGATATCAACGATATTTAACCTGCCAAGGACGAAATTTTGCGTGCTTCCGCAAGGCACGGGTACCCTCTGGGCCACGTGTCGAACGGTAACGCGATGTAACGCGGTTGGCAGGTACCAATTGGGGCGCCATTTCATGTATGAATATCGTACCGTCGTGGTTTGCGCAGTAGAGATGATTATTTATCTTCTTCTACGGTAATTTGTACATCGAACGCACTCGCTCACTCAACCAAGCACATACAGCAGTACACATCCCGCCCCTCCAACCAACGGAACAAGCAGGACTTCGTTAACGGTGCTACAATTCTACCGGTTCCATGCCCCTTGAGGCAGACAAGGACAGAGGGAAGCGCCAGCCAATCATAAGAGGGGCTTGCGACCAATGAAGGGGCTGGAAGAAAAACGATACCCCGCCGCATAGACTACACACCTTCCCCAACAGGGAACCACAGCGTCTGTCTGTTCCCTTTGGCAAACGCCACCCCAAACTCGGATTCGACCTCATCACTATCACCACTCCAGGCTGGTTGCATGGTACCGTCTACGCAAGCTCCTACTGCAAGAGCTACAGCACGCAAGACTGAGACATGTACGCCTGTTCGTTTCTTGAGTATCGCACCTATCGAACTATCGTGTCATCGCACCGTGATGCGTTCACTCAGCACCGCATCACGGCCACTGTGATTTCTTCCACATCGCACCTATCGAACTATCGTGTCATCGCACCGTGGTGCGTTCGAAATCTAGAACGAAATGATATAATTGCATTTCCGCACCGGTATCGGTGTTATGGCACCCATCGGTGTTATGGCACCGGGGTGCGAAAAAAAAAACAAGATGGAAATTATTTAAGAAACGATCGCACCCTGGTGTGCCATCATACGCGCTTCTACGGCAGGCAGCGAAGCAAGAACATCCACGAGGGTAAGGGTCAGCACACGTCGAAGGGCTACACAGCGAACCGAAAAACAACCAGGAGGTTACGCACGTTGAAGGGCTAGACAGTGAACCGAGACCAAACCAGGGAGGGTAAGGGCAAGCCCGCTTCGCGCGCCATACAACGGGCGCCAAGCGGTGTCTCCCTCTCTCTCCTGCTCCGCTGGAAGCAACAACACCTCCCCGTCTGCCACCGCCACCTCCTCCCACCTTGCGACTCCAGGTACGCCGACCGGAACTCCCTCGCCGTGGTGGCCCTCCGGTACTCCAGCCCCATCGAGAGGCACACGCCCTCGAAATCCACCGAGTGAGGGGTGTCGAACAGAGGCGAAAACGCGTCCCCGTGCCGAGCGTCTGCGATCGGCAGAAACGAGAATATCCCTCCGCCTGATGTTCAGCAAAATGCACATGTTTGTAGGGGAAGGGACGATAGTCGACGACGAATTGTCGTGTGTGTGTGTGTGTGTGTGTACTCGTAGCCGTGCATGCCGTAGTCGTTAGACTATTGAACTCGCATCCCTACCAAAGCCGGGACGGAGTACGCCGGGTCCTCACCGGACCAGGCTCTCACATCGTCAACCACGAAGCGCCGTGAAGCATTCGGAGAGTCGCATGGAGGTTGCGCTGCATCCGGCTATGGGTGTTCGGCATCTTGTGCTTACTTCGTGGGGGGG